TAAAATATATTTCTTTTATTATTTATAATTTCTGTAAATTCTTGTTTTAAGCAACTATAAAAATATAAACTTTGGTATTCCTACTAGGAAAATACCTCTGCTTCACAAGCATCTTGCCTTTACGTATTTATTTTTTTTAGGGCAGAATATATATGCATTTTCAAGTATTATAGTAAATGCTACTTAACTACTCTGGTCATAACTATTTCTAATAATTGCAAAAACCAAAATGAACTTTTACAGATCTTGTGTAAATCTTCATTTAGATGATTTGACTCTACTTTCTGTACCATACATTAATGCTCGAAGCAACCAAGTAACTATATCAAGCAATAAATATAACTACCATTCCTGTAAAAGTTCTTACATAAACAAATACACCTTTCCCTCTTAGATATGTCTTCTTCATTTTATACATACAATACAAATTTTCCTTTTCTAGTCTAGCTCTTCAGCAGTACAATACAGCAGTCCAAGATTTAGCAATTATTGCACAGCTTTTAGATGCTGCTCTTCCTCCAACATTTTCACCCAAAAGAAGCTCTAATCACTAGAAATATCCCTAGAAATCACTAGAAATATCCACGCATGACAAGCACAGATGTATATCCAAATTATTTAAGGTGAAAAGCTAAGAAACTTTCTAACATGAAAGGTTTCTGGAACATTAGTAGAATAATTCCCAGACATATACAGCTTTTTCTGTGCATCAATGAAATCTTCACATGATGTACCAAAGCATTTTAATTACTTTTTTTTAAATCAGCTTTTAACACAGCCCCAATTTTCAAATATAACTATGACTTAAAGGTATAACGAGAGTTAGTTCCATATAAACACCACGAGTGCACAATCTAGTGTGTAGTCTATTGTAATTAAGACCCATGATTCAATACCTATTGCTACTGGCCAGGTATCATAGCAACCTTGTGTCACTAAATACTGCTGGAAAACTGTTCAGCACCAGCAAGACTGTGCTTCAGGAAAATCTACAATGGCACTACAGATTGTCAACATCTGTGGGGATTGTTACAAAAAGAACAACAAAAGAAATCTGCGTTGAAACCCCCATGCTTTAGAAAATTTACAGTGATACTACGGTAACACTACGAAAAGGAGAACAGAGAGGACAGAACGACTATTTTCATCCTTAGTTACATAACTTATGCACCCACATCCATTCACACAAGCTGAGAGTTGCAATAATGCTGCATTACCATATTGTTTATGTACATCCACAAAGTACCATTTTTTTTATTTTACTAAACACAAGCATCATTCATCACCACCATTAACGTGGAAATAAAACAAACCCACTTTTACTATAATATTTAAACTTCCACAAATGAAGTCTAGATAGTCTTGTATAAATCTACAAAAAAGAAAAAACAGGTTACTATGAACAAGAACCCAATATTGATTTTTCTGCGGTGCAGTAAAGCATCTCCATTCTATTTGGCTGCTGTCAAAGCCACTCTTTAACAGCTGGAGTCAAATTGCACTATTTACAGCAAGAGCCCTTGTCAAGTGGACCATAAGTATTCTAACAATACACTATTCAAATAGCACTTTGCCACACAAATTGCTGACTTGATGAATACCCCATGTCAATGACTAGGGCCAATATAAAAGTTTCATTTTTATGAGAGGTTTTACATTCACATATTAAGTAAAGCTTTCTTGAAGAACTATTAAGCTATATATTTTGGGTCTTTTGACATTGAAAATAATTAAAATCTGTTTAAATATATCAAGGGGATTTGACAACATTAATATGGATCTTGTGTTAACTGCATTTGTCACACTCATCTGTTATTGGTACTCCCACTGGCACGTGCAGCACAATAAAAGAATTAAAATGGTCAAAATACCATGAAATCAAAGCATTCTGCTTTTGTATCTGTGATTTACATGATGACAAATGTTTTGAAAGAAAGCCTTTGAAGCTGGAGTGCTATGTGAGGATATCTTTCTTTCTTAGAACAGAGTACAGAAAGACCCTTACTTTCCAAATGTTATTTTGTGTGAAGTATGATACTAATGACAAAACAACATAATAAATATTAAGCAAAAATCTGAACCTTACTTGCGATCTTCATGTGGATCACCTCATTGTACAAAATAAGAATCACTCAAGTGTAATACCAACAGGACAGAATAACTACGTTTTTTTCCCGTTACATATATTTTCTGAGACTGAATTCTGAAAAAGTATGCTAAAAGTGACTGCATTTTTAAAGAACAGAAATATTAACAATTTAGTGTGTTGCTGAATTTCTAATATACAATCTGCTAAAGCAGCAAACTGATAGTGAAATAATTGTATATAGGCATACTAAAACCTTTCTCTAATCTGAAAGTTTTGTGATAGTTTCATCTGTGTGGTTATTATACACTAACTGATTATGATATGGAATACATAACTCTCCAGTATTCATGGAACTCTCAGTATTTCATGGGATCTAGATTTCAAGATGCTAAAATACAATGACTCAAAAGATTCAACATAGCACTCTGAAAAACAAACAAACAAAAATTTCCTGCATAAGAATTAAGAAAAAGCAGCTGACTTGTTACCAAGCTTTCATTTCAGCAATAACGAAACTGTGTTAAAAAAAGCCACGGAGCTCCAAATTCCTTTTGTACAGCCCACACCGGGTTTCTGGAACATTAAGAGGACCTCCATTGTTATATTCTTCCCAGGTTCAGCTACACCCTATACATTTAGCCTCCAGCATCTCTCACATCAATCTGCAGACTCTGCTCTAATGGGGATGGAGGTGGAAAAAAGCACTGGATGTAATGGATGACAGATTTTTGATGAACGGAAAGAGGTTTCCCAAGTATAGAACTTCATTTGTTGTTAGGAAATTAGACTAAAATAACAGGACTATAATGACAAAAAGAAGATGAATTAAGAAAAAAATAAAAAAGATATTTTGCCTGTCGTTGGAAAGTCTAAGAGACATCAATTATATTCTCTCAAAAAATTTTCATTGGAACAAGAAAATGAACAACACATAAACAAGAAAATTGAATGTTTTCCTGAGAAATCAGCACAGATAAGATGCATATCTGAACAAGAAAAACACAATAAATTATTATTACAACTCCACTGCTGCCTACCATGCTATTATTTCCAATTTAAGATCATTGTAATTCCTAAAGTATGTCAAACTCCACACTTCGAAATTTACCAAAACCTATTTTCCCATATTACACATGCAGCACATTTTCTTTCCAGCCACTTTGTTAAATCCATGTAATTTTCAATAGGTATAATAAAGTTATTCTCCAAGCACAACCACTGTAACTTTTTCCGTTGTTCCTCTTTCAAAAGGCAAGACAAAACTATTCCTTTTCATAAACTAACAGTGAGATCAGATTCTGTGTCAATGGCCAACTAGTGCACCATCTGCCCCACAACATGCTCAGCAGGATTATGCTCTAATAAGACTTTTCAGAAAATGGGATCAAAAAGAACTTTAGAAATCAGAGTAAGGTTAGTAAAAGGTCAAAGACAAATATTACGAGTTAAACAACAATCATTATATGTAAATTTGTAAGTACAATAAAGAAAAAGACTAGAAAAGAAAATTCAAGAATAAGGATTTAGACTAAGCTGTTCTTTGTCATGACAGAATTTTGGAATATCCAGTATTTAGTTTACCATAATTAATAAAGCTGGGAAAAGGCCAGGGACTATTCTGAAGGTTGCTTCCACATGTGAGTTGAGGGAAAGTATTTTTCATTTTCTCATACTTGTGGGAAGGTATTTTTTAATACACATTCAGGGTTGAGGAACTGCAGATGTAACTTCCTCTGTCTACTGCAGAGGTTGGAATTCCCAAACTCCATTAATTAAAAGGTGGTAAAAATTAACAAACAAAATCAACGCTCCCTTCTTAAGATACACCCATATCAAGAGTTCAGTGAATAGATTCACTCCCGATGCACGAACAGTGCTTTCAGAGAAATGCTATATACAAATCTGTATATCATTATTTTCCAACCCGAATAAGACAGTATCTACTTCGTTGTATTTGAGATTGTATTAGATTTGAGGCAATTATAATAATGGGTTTCACATTTAGCAAATATCAGCTTTTTAAATATCCACAAATAACTGAAAATCACAGATATATCTAGGCCACAAACAAATAGAATTACTATTGCGTTTTCAATCTTATTTCTCATTATATGGTGTCTCTGTACTCAGTTTCTCTGCTTTAACAGGATATTAACACTAGTTCCAGTATGTAACACTAGTTTCAGTATAGTATTTCCTTCTATTACTTTTTTCAAAACAAAAATAAAAGAGCACATCTTTTTCACCAGTCACAATTATTTGGTTAAGTGACTTCTGTAAAAAAAACCTGTTAGATAAAGCTAAGTACGGTGCCTGGCCAAATCTCTCCTTAAGAGTATCACACCTGCTTGCAGTCATGTATCTCACTAGGAACATTACCCTCCTCTTTTTAAACAATAAGGTGCCAAATGTGATCACACTAATATAAATGTAAGGCACTTGCACTCTGTTCTGTGATGATGTTAACAGAAAACAAACACCCAATAAAAACTATGACTGATTGACAGTATGAATTTGCAGTTTCATGGTAAAGCAGTAACGGAAAGACCAGTATATTGTGCACTGACATACTTTTTCTCAAGGCATATACATTCCAACTGCTCAGTTCAATTGTTTTGAGGGTGCTGCTAATATGTGCAGTTGTAAGCCAGAGGCATAAGGAAACAGGGTCCAACTCTGGGTGCCAAGGCTCTGAGATGATCTGCATAAGGCACTGCCCTCACCTTCCCCATTTGTTCTGTGGGATGGGGTTAGAGGCATAAGAACCGAGCCAGCCAAAACAAGCTTTTATAAACTTAAACCCGAGCCTCCACGCTGCTTATACATGGCTACACATCAGTGAAGGTGAAAGGGTAAAGAATTTAGATCACAACCCACTGCTCTTGAGAAATGCTCTACCCTTCATTCTTACCTTATCTGAAGATTTTTCCGTATGAGTAAAATTGTAAGAGATCATGCCATGCTTATATGAGCTACAGTGTTTGTATCCAGCATTTTTATTTCTTTTTGACTCTTGAGATACAGGAAGTAGAGCCTCTGTCACTAAGTATTCTGAATCTTCAATGGAAGCAAGAATTGCTTTTGCTGTTTCACCTGTTTCATGTCGTTCCAGTGTGCCTAGAGAAACACAACAGAAGCTGCAATTTTTTTTCCAAAGAACTAAGCTTCATATTTCAGTTTAAGGATCATAGCATTAACATAGAGCATTTCACATCAGCAGATAAATCATTTACAGATGAACCAACTAATTCCTTATTTTCTAGTCCTTAAAAATCTAATTTTATACAAATGTCTATTCTAAACAACTGCTACGTTAAAAAAATAAAGCTTGATTTTTGATGAAATCACTGCAGTAAATAGCTTAGATTCAGACCACAAGAAATTTAAGGTATTTTGTATAATAAAGATGCAGATTTCAAAGAGCAAAGGAAATTAAGAATACCACTTGCTCTAACTCAGTTTAAAAGTCATTTGCCTTCTCACAAAGGCACCACAGAGCATCTGTATCATTAACATTGTAAACAATAACACATTTATGTAATATTTTAGTGCTGTCCTCTAGTGTTCTAGATTACAAATAGCAAGGGAAAGCTCAAATTCTTCCTTCCATCCCTAAACACCATCTTTACATCTGAGACTTCAAACACCTGAATATACTACACCTAGATTAGTAGTCAGGAATATGAATACAATGTTTCAGAGATTATTTCATCACTTGCGTGGCTCTAGGCAATCCAATTCCTTTAACTGATATAATCAGTTATACTATGTTAGTAATAATTTTATTTAGTAATAATTTTAGTAATAGTTCTTAATTTATAACTAACATTAAAGATAACTAAACTGAGCTTAAACGTATTTGAAATTAGCTCCTACTATAACGTACACATTTCATACAGGAATTAAACTCTTAGAAAAATTGCCAAAATGGCATGCTTCCTATAAATATCAGAGATAAAAGACATATTTAGTATTTTAAAAGTATTAAATATTTGTTATAACATGAAATTTTTTTTCCCTTAAGTTTAAATTCCTTGCAGCCTCAAGTAACAAAACATAAATTTTACCTTTCACTGCTACCAGAAAAAATGGGTAACATTGAAGTTCTATCAGTAACACCTGCTAAAAAATATTGGACTGAGACTGAGGGATCTCACAGAGTGTTTGTGTGTGTAAATGTGTATAAAACCTCTTTATCTGACATTATTTCTCCCAAACTCATCCACTTTTGTTAACTGTACTATCTCCGCCATTACTCACACGGCCAAGAGTCTTCGCATTCAGAGAGGAAGAAAGTAATGCGACTGATCCTTTGCCTTTTAACAAAACCAACCGAATATCATAGATTACTATAATATTGCACTGACAAAATAAGGATCAGCCCCAGTTGTTTTTAATACGTCATTTTTTCATCACTCCCCAGGACGTGCAGTCAGTGTCAGGGACAGTTAGAGAACTGAATACTTACTGGAAGGAAAGCAAGTTGCCCAAAGATCTTTACAGTCAGACTGTCTCATAAACTTCAGAACAACACTGGCTACAAATTTACCAACAATGCAACATTTCAGTATTTCAGGAACACAAAAAACTATACTAGTAGATGCCTTACAAGAAAGGATTACAAAACTCACACTAGACTCACGCGAGCAAACACACATTCTTAAAAAGTATTACAGTGTTTGCAAAGTCAAGACATTTGGAAATAATACGGTCATTCAACTAATATTATTTTGGCCTCTTTATACATGTAGTGTAGTCTTTCAGTCTGTGGATGCCACATCACCAGTCATCCCTCAGAGTCAGACTATTCTGTGGAATAATGTTGTGGATATAAAACAGAATTCAATCATTTAATTAAGGCTATCATACTCCCGTAGCAAGAGAGGATAAAACCACGTTTCCAACAAAAATCAAGATTTGAGTTGCCTGACTTTTAATACTCCCTATATATACATAAGGAGTAAAAACGAGAAAATAGGTAACACTTGCATTTCCTGTATATCAGAGCTTCTTCCTTGGCAACAGTTTCAGAGACAAGTTTTCACCTTCTGGTTGCACAAAAAACTTTTAGTGGAAAGAAAAAGATTGGAAGAAGTAAAAGTTCCTAAAAGAAAAAAAAATGCTTTCTTGAATATACTTTTTAATCATGGATCTGTGTCTGTGTATATGTACAAATCTGTGTCTACATCTACAGCTACAACAAAAGGGTACAAAGTGTACAGGAAAATAAGTGTGATGAAAAGAGATGGTACATTCACAAAAGCGTTACAAAGGGCTTACTTTATCCAGTGTACTTCACACTTCTGCAGAGCCCAAAATACTAATTTGCACAGTAAGTAGGCAACAGAGACAAAATAAAGGAAGAGATCTGTATTCTGCAACCCCTGAACACCTCTTGAAGAGAAGAAAAACAGGGAAGAGAGGGGAGGGGCAGGGCAGATGGAGAAACCTGTGTATGTGACAAAGACATGCTGATCACTGCAGTCAAAAGAACATGGTGGTTATTGTTCCATACAGTTAGGAATATGTTGTCTCTGATTTTAAAGGAAAACAAGAAGAGTAAGAAAAGAAATAGCTTTTAAATGGGAGTATAAGAAAGAGGACAGAAATAAAGACAACTCTCTAACATCAAGTATTTTAAACCCAAATGAGCCCAAAAGCTTTTGATTACAAGAAAAAATAACAATGGATGAAAGGGAAAAGACAGGGTTGTCTAAGTAGCAGCAACACCACTGCTATGACCCCCTACTATACATACAAAATACAGGAAAAGAAAGTCTTTATCTCTCTAAAGCTGTGACCATGGCAACCAAGTCTCAGGAACAGACAAGAGTGGAGTATTTCATTCTCCTGGGCAGCTTTGGACCAGCAGATGTGACTGGCTAGAGACTGTTAAAACATCTTATTCCTCTTCTGGACCAAGTACTACAAATTGTGTCTCCTGGCATTAGCGTTGTCCACACAGTTCTCCGGATTCTACATTTTTACTGGAGAGATCATGCATATTTTCCTGCCTCAAGACAAGGGATTCACTGACATCACATGACCTGTCATATCATCAGGCTCCAGTGCTTTCTGTTTGCTGTCACGGCTAAAGTATTGAAAATCTTCAATATTGCAGTGCTGCTGTGACCTAGTAACTCAGCTGAATCTTACAGTCTAACAGTGATCTGTGAATAAAAAATGGTTTTCAGAATTGATTTTATTTAAAAAGAGAATGTGGTCAAGAACAAATCTTTCTCTTTACTAGCAATCAAAACAAAAACTCTCACCTTTCAGAAAACATATAATCTGTAATATTTGTTGTTTTATTTTCTGCCAAGATCTTCCTTTCCATAAATACCTACTTCATCTGAAAAGAAACTTCCACCCACCTTCTTCTACGCTGGTAGTCAGGCAAACAGAAATTCTATATTACTCACTAGAAGATGCTTGAATTTTACAAATCTACCATCCTGCTCCAAGACAGTGGTCAACAACTTGGCTTAAAAAATCTCTCCTGCTAGTGCTGCCACTCTAATAAAAAATGGTCCAAAATAGATGGAATAAACACAGCATTAAGCAAGCATATATATTTCCAACCGATATCAAGACAAAAGCAAATGCAACCTAGCAAATAAAAATTGGATAGATCAAACAAACCCCAGCCTAATAAAATCTAGTAATCTTTAAAATGATATTTTACATAGAGAAATAGATTAATAATGGATATGCCCTGTGACTACAGCACTGCATAGAGTACATGTAGAGTGTCTTGGCAGACAGTTCCTAATGATTTTTGCATCTGGAAGATTTCTATCATGTCATCCAACTGCTGTACATTACTGACATTCTTCAGAATATACACTTTCAGAATAGCATTAGCAAACTCTTGTCAGAATATCTTTCAGCTAAAAAAGGCCATTAAGAACAATCCAAAGAAAACTACTGGAATATCACATATAACGTAAGCAAAAAGAGCAGTTCTCCAATGCAGCCAGTTCTCATCTCAGGATTTCTGCTGCACACACAACAACCCAAAAGAAAGGACATTAAGACTTCCCTGTTCTCTTCCTGGTTCCACCCAAGCTATTTTAAACAGCAAAGGACATCAATCCTCTAACAGGAATTGCTGACATCTAGTAAATGTCTAAACTGGGCTAAACAGAAGTGTCCAGCTCTGAACTTGGAAGAGATGCGAGTAGTTTCTAATTAATTGCCATCTGATACATGGATTGAGGGACAAGAACCCATCCCTTGATGTCTGGAAAACTCTCCCCGATATGAACTCTTCTGTCTAACTGCACTGACCATGTCAACCAGTTTTCGTTTCCCCTATTGTTTTGAGTTTGTTTTTTTTAAAATATAATCTTACTTCATTATCAAAGAATTAAGATCAACTATCAACTGTAAGAGACACATCCCTTCAGACACATACAGCTAAATTCCATGCATGCTCCATCTACTATACACAAAGTACATCAGAGTATGTGTTTATGTATACATACAAATATAAAGAAACCTGACTGCTTTCAGCCTAAAGGAGCGTGTCCTTAGCTTCTGCAGATCGGGCAAATGGTGATACTGTGTTTCTGCCCTCCTCTCCCCGAGACAGACTTTCCAAAGCACCACTAACTTGTATTATTCTACTTCAATAAGTAGTTACTGAAAAACAATTCAAATTTAGAGTGCTCTGCAATATTCAAATGCAAGCTACTTACTGATCTGAGGCTTGCATGTAAAAAAGTACAGGATGCCACTAAAAAGGTAAAACATCAGTGAAGTTTAAAGTTAAGACTGACAGAGTAAAACAAAAGAAACCCTTAAACTTCCTCAAAGGATATAAATTCATGCTCATGACTTATTTTTATTCATTCACATTTTCAAAACATGCTAACCAATGTTTCCTTATCCTTCATTTTTTTTAGAAAGGGATTTAAGTGACAGCATAAGATGTGCTGAGAAACTACAGTAAAATTCAACCTTCCAGCTTACTGTATGTTATCATTTGCATCGTATTACATTTAACATACCCTGAATGTCTTCACAGAGCTGCTTTCTTAGAGAAAGCTTGTTTAAACCAGAAATTGTTTCATGTTGCATTGTGTTAATTGTTTAATGTTACAGTACTCTCAGTC